TAGAAAATAAATCTTCAAGTTTTTACTGAGAAATACAGATTTATTGGATTAACAGTGTTGGATTATCCCTTAAACCAGCTGGTTAGTTTAGCCAGCTTAGGTAATGATCTCAAAATAAACATTCAGAGGTCCAGCTCTTCTCTAAAGTGGTAACTGTAGTGCTTTGGGATGATTCCAAACATGATGCCAATTAGTTCACAAATCATACCAAGCTTCAAAGATATGACCTGTTTATATTGTACAGCTCATAAAGAGAATCAGATGCTTAAAGAAGGAAAAAGGCAAACAAGCTCATTTAAATTACTTCATACATATTATTATCTTTACAATATACTGTACTATGCTTTCTTTATCCCAGATGTTGGTATATTTACATATTATGTAAGCAAAACATAAATAGAATGAAGGGATAAACAAGACAAACAAAGTAGAACTGCTTCCTTAAAAGTGACCTTTTCCTTCCTATTTCCCTGTTTCCTGTGTATTATTGTAGAGTTTGAGGCAACTTTCTTTAAAGATATAATAAGCTTTGGAGTCAAGAAGAACAGGTGTGCAATGGAAACCTGAGATGAGAGGTAAAATGTGACATGACACTGATGATAATTTGGATTTTAAAAAAATTACATTTAGAATCCCTATATATCAGTATTGTTAAATAAATATTACTAAAACAATCAAAGGAAGTAGAATTGTATTTATAGTTTTAAGGATACAAGACATTTTAGGAAAATTTGACCTTATTTGACCTTGAAGAAGAGGTCATAGGTCCAGAGTAACGTGATATTTAGAATGCCCATAATTCAGTCCCTGTATGTCTGCATGTTGTCAGTACAACAAATGGCAGTAAGGAACACAATTTAAAATTGCTCCGTATAACATTAGTTTCAGTTTTTATAGCTTTAAATAATACAGCTTTTCTCCAATTTTTGACCAATAAATCACTTATTTGACCTTGAAGGCCTTGGTGGATGTATGCCAAATTTTAATGGATTGTTAACACGAGCCCTTCTGCATCCATACAAAGAATTCACTCAAAACCTTTCCAGCTGTCATGTTTACAGACAGAAAGACATACACCCAAAATCATAACCTCTTTGGCAGAGGTAATAAAGCAGAACAATGAATTTCTAAGAGGAGTAAAAGAAAACAGCAAGCAGAGGGAATGTTAAAGCGGCTCAGTAACGAGCGACAGTGCAGGGTAGATATAAATGATTCACATGAGAA